ACCAAAGGGAGAAGCTGCTATTATTCAGTTCCGGCTGATTCAGGAATCAGGCCTCATGTTGACAGCTCTTTCTTTTTCAAGAGAATTCAAAATCTAAAGCCCCAAACCCAGATTTTTATACAAAATCTCTCAATTTTCGAATGTTTAACTTTTTAAAAAACAGTACGGATCAAATAAAACACCTTAGGGCCACCAGTTGCAACCTCTAGGAAAGGTGAGGCCTCCTTCCCATTTTGGAGGCTTCCATGCAATTGCCCACATCATCCTCCCACCTACAGAATCCCAGTCGAAACTAGCAGAGTTCTAGAATCTCCTCTCCCTGTTCCCCAACCAAAATCTCAATTTCTCACTGTAGTAAAGTCCAGCTAAGTTGGAAAGCAATCTGATTAAAAAAAAATAACTTCTAGCTCCCAAATTCAATAAATACTGTGAGGATTATCTGCATTTCAAAAGTTAACTAAAAGCATCATGTTTCAATTAATAGAATTAAAGGCAATGAACCAAAATACAAAATCGTGGTCAATCAGGAAAGATGCCAAGTACTAAGCCAAGCGCTGTTGATGTGTTAAACTCCTTTAATCCTACAAGGCAGGGACTGTTACGATCTCTCTTTTGCAGAAGCCAAAAAGGAGCTTTACAAAAGTTAAACTACTTGGCCAGGGTCTCTCACGCTAGTGGCAACAGCAGGTTTGCCTGGCACTGAAGGACATGCAGTTTACTACACCACTCACTACGACTCCTCTGCATGATATTATGTGACCTCATGTAATGGTGGTCCTGGGGCACAACTTCAGAGTGGGCATCCTTGAGATGGGTATGGCCCTCTCTGAGAGCCTAAGGACACTCACATGATCCGTGATGTGGTTTGAATGCATGTCCCTCCAAAATTCACGTTGAGGCCGGCACGGTGGCTCACGCCTGTAATCCTAGCACTCTGGGAGGCCGAGGCGGGGGGATTGCTCAAGGTCAGGAGTTCAAAACCAGCCTGAGCAAGAGCGAGACCCCGTCTCTACTATAAATAGAAAGAAATTAATTGGCCAACTAATATATATAGAAAAAATTAGCCGGGCATGGTGGCACATGCCTGTAGTCCCAGCTACTTGGGAGGCTGAGGCAGAAGGATTGCTTGAGCCCAGGAGTTTGAGGTTGCTGTGAGCTAGACCCCATGGCACTCTAGCCGGGGCAACAGAATGAGACTCTGTCTCAAAAAAAACCAAAACAAACAAAATTCACGTTGAAACTAAATCTTCAGTGCAATTGTATGAAGAGGTGGGGCCTTTAGGAGGTGATTAGGTCATGAGGGCTCCACCCACGGGAGTGGATTAGTGCCCTTATAAAAGGGCTCCAGGGGACTAGCTAGCCCCTCTTTGCCCTTCTGCCCCTTCTGCCACGTGACAACACAGAGACAGTGCCATCTATGAGGAACTGGCCATTACCAGATACCAGATTTGCCTGCACCTTTATCTTAGACTTCCTAGACCCTAGAACTGTGAGAAATTTCTATTATTTATAAATTACCCAGTTTGTGGTTATAGTAGCAGGAACAGACGGAGCCAGTTGGCTCTAAGACAATCCCGTCCCTTCCCCCCTACATGCTGTGGCCAAACTTTCAAGGCAAAAGCCTTTAGCAGAGGTCGAGCTGCTAAGAGGGGCCTTCAGATACCAACAGAGCTCCTATGCAGACAGCTGGTGCTCACTGCTGGAGAAGAAGATAGGAAGCTGGCTTTTCTAGGCAATTCTCAATCCTCTTAGGAAAGGGGCAAGAAGGACCAATGTATGAAGGCCTAGAGAAGCACCCTGGCCATCTCGTCAACAGCATTTCCCAACGGAGTCCTCATGTTACATACCCAAGGATCCCAAAAGTACTAGAATAAGCTCTCAACCAGGCCTTTGTTCCTATTATCATTCTCTTTATTCTAAAACAGATTAATTACAGATTTCAACTTTTCAAATGCAACATCTGGGTAAGTTAGGAATATTCACAGCACCTTGCCAGGGTACCATGCCAAAGAAAAAGACAGTCTGGGCTCATGGGTATCTGCTCTGTGTTGGGGAAATTGAAAAACAACAAGCAAAAGGCTAACCACAATCTTGACTTTTTTCTTTTTAAATAAACCTTGCTTAATTTCTCTTTTCACACTGTGAATTGTTCTCGACTTCTTTTCTCAACATTCATTTCAGTTTTCAGAATTTCCATCCTTCCATAGTTCCATCCTGGAACTAATGCGCTGTTCTGAAAGGGAATGAAGACAAACACAAAATTACCGAAGGTTCCAGTTCATTGTTGTAGTTCCTAACTGGTGACAAGAGTGAGACCAAGATACTCTCCCACTATAAGATCCCATTTATATGGGAATAATCATTTAACTATTGGTTCTATTTATTTACCCCCCATCTCATTTTACAAAAGAATGTGAGACAGCTTGTTCAAAACTACAGTTGATGCCCACTTAAATGTACACAATGAAACAAACTGGATGGCAACTAAGTTAGACAGCGGTATGTGAGCACCTAAGCAGACGCGGTAATTCCAGGCACACCTCTCACAGTGCAAGGCCAAAAAGAGAGTATAAATTTTAACTAGATGAACAGAAGAAAATTTGAAGAACGCTCATCTTCAATCTCTCAGACTCCAGATCTGCCAGCCAACGTGCGGCCCTTACGTAGCTTGAAGACCACATCCTGCCCATTCACTGTAGAAACCTGCACCGTGTCCCTGCCACGTGACTGTGTTCCTGCCAAGACTGACTGGGCACCTAAACCTAACACAAAAGGACTCTCAAAAATGGGACTCAGCTAACAGAAAACTTTTAAAGGGGATAAAACCCTCTCTGTCTCTTTATTCCCTCTTTCCCCTCGGCTGCCCTTCCCTAGACTCTAAGTGATGGGGAAACACAAAGAATGAAAATGACAATCTAGAGAGATACTGTGTGTGTGTGTGTGTGTGTGGGGGGGTGACAGCAGCTAGTCACCGAGTCAGGCAGGCTCTGGCAAGCTGGGGTGGGGTGCTGACACACACACTGCCCTTTAGTAGGCAGCTCTTCCCAGTGGCGAGGATAAGGTGACAAGGATGCAGCCTTGCAGAATGGCAGGCTCCAAACCAATTAATAAAACAGTTGCAAGGGATATGCACAGGCATGGAACTGATGCTGAGGGCCAGAGAGTGTGCTCCTAATTCCTTGCCAACACTCAGAGGTTCCTAGGTATGCTAAGGCGTGTGCTTTCATAAATGTTCATGCAGAAAGGACAGCATGAGTACGAAATAAGAGCTGAAGGGTGGTGGCCCACAACTCTCTATCCTGGCTGAAAAGTTATGCCCTACATTATGTCTGCTCAAATCAACGTCTGTCCTCAGATCAAGAGCATTTAACCGCCAGGGGTTTCCCTACAAAATACTAGGTCTCAACCTCAGAAAGTACCAAATGTCCAAATAATCAAGTAACTTTCCTCTCTCTTAAGCAATGTGATTTGTGGGTACCAGGGTACGGGTGGACTACTTAAAAATCAAGAAAAAAAATCAATTCAGAGTAAAGAATTAAAGAACTCAACATGTAGCAGAAAGGACTAGTTCTGAAAGCAAATCTCAGACAGAATAATTTAATTTAGGATAAAACTAAATGTGACAGGGAATGAGGGTGGGAGAAGCAACTATAAGAGAGAGACAGGGAACTTTCTGGAGGGTTGCGACAAGTCTATATCTTGATTGAGACGGTGGTTACAAACTATTTTAAGTTTTTCAAGATTCATAGAATTGTACATTAAAACAGGTGAATTTTACCATATATAAATTACACTTCAGTTAAACCTGAAAAAACAAAACCGAAACAAATGCAGATCCTTTCTGAGCCAAGGACTAGGTGACCCGGCTTATGTGCACACAGCAGTAGAAAGGCTCTAAATTCTGTGCTTTTGTTGATCTCTCCTATTTTCAGAGGATTAAAAATTAGGTGGCTTTGTTGCTTTGGCAGGGAAAGCCATTAAGAGGGAACATGATGTGAAAATTCAAATACTCTCTCCCTTTGTTGGGCTAAGGCAGGGGTCAGCAAACTGTGCTGTACAGGCCAAATCCAGCCCACCACCTGTTTGAATAAATAAAGTTTTACTGGAACACAGCCATCCCCATTTGTTTCATTAATACATAGTCTAGGGCTGCTTTCATGTGACAGTGACAGAGTTATACAGTTCTGCCAAGAGACTACATGGCCAGCAAAGCCTAAAATACTATCTGGCTCCTTACAGAAAACTTTTGCTGGCCCCTGGTCTAGTGGAACAGACAATCAGACACTCTCTCTCCTTCTCTCCTGTCACCTTGCCTCTACTTCTGTCCCCATTCTAGGACTAACATGTGGAAGGAGAATGAGTGGCATTTCACTTAACATTTTAGGCACAAGGGGGGCAGCCCTGAACCCTACGCTAAGTGCTAGGAAGCTGGATTCTGATGCTGGCTTTGATCTGTGGCCACCAGTCCTTCATAATTAAGAGTTTCAACAAACCACACCATTTGGCCCAATGAATAAACATTAGTGTTACAGAAGGCCTAGAAACAGTGACAAGGTGTGCCAGGATTTGCCATGAATTTTGGACTTGTCTTATCCTCAACTCAGCTCTCCTGTAAACAAAGAGAGATGGGCATGGTCTACAAATAAATCATGGGACATGAGGGAGGATGAAATCTTACATAGTCAAAGTCAGGCCGAAGCTGCCCCACTGCAACATTACCCGTCAGCTGGGCTAACTCAGGAAGCCTTTGTCCTTGTCCAGTCACAACCTCACCCCGTAAGTTGGAAAATGGCCCCAGAATTCAGCTTTGGCTTAGGGAGAGGTGGGAGGAATGAGTGGGCTGAAAACTAGAAAGATAACTGACATGCATGAGGTGGGCAAGATGGGAAAGGGACCCTGCTTCTGGGATGAGTCCACCCTTCATCTTTACCGTAGTGTCCTATATTTTGCCAATCTACTGCTCTGCTCTGCAGCGATCCTGCCAAAGGAAAGAGGGTTTGAGAATCAAGAAAGGACAGTTGAGAAGAGAAATAAGCTGAGGAAAGAAATGACAAACACCCAACCAAAGCTTCCGTTAGGGTCACTGATTTTCCCAGGGCAGAGTTCATTCCAGGACTCACAAAGAAGACAACAGAAGAGTGGGCTTTAAGCTCGTAAGTGGGATATGTGAGTACGGGGGAGGGAGGAGCCACCCATCCTTTTGGGATTCTGATAAAAACCATGGCCTATTTCCCCAGAAAATGCATACAAGTTTAGGATTCCAGATTAAGAACTCCAGCCATGCAGGATCTAAACCAAATGGTTTCTATCCCGCTCTCCCCTTGATTTTGTTCTTTCTCAGTGGGCAACTTCCAGAAAAGAGAGAACTTAGAGCACAGCCTTTTGGCTCCCTGAGGGCCCAGGCAGTTGCTGGAAGGGAACAGTGCTCTTGCTTTGCAAAAACAGCTGAGTCCCGGCTCCGGCAAGAAAAGGCTGCTGGAGGGCAGAAAACCAACCAGCTGCCACTGCTGGTGCTGTGGGGAGCTCTGGTGGGATCTGAATTCCTACAGGGAAGCCAAGGACCATGTCTGTGTCACGTCGCCACAGAGAAGCGCTCAAAGAGCTCACAATGGAGACTCTGGCAGAGATGAGGTGTTTGCTTCTCCTACTCATTAATGGTCTCCCTGAAAAAGCCTCTCTCCCATCTGACCAACCTAATTGACAGCCATGCTGGAGGGCATGCTATTGAGTTACATTCTTCCAGCAAAAGTCCTGGACAGGAGAAAGCAGGGCACGTCTGAAAATGATTTCTTACAAAGGTGAAAGCAATTCTGACCTTTTCTTATTGGCCTTTGTGTGGCAGAAATCACCCAGGTTCTAATAAAGTCAAATCAATGAGAAACACCTAGTGACATTTAAATTTGCCTCCAATTCAGTTTCAAAAGTCAAGCTGCCAGCAAGCTGCCACCATGTCAAGGTCTGACCATTTGTACGACTCCGAGGTTGTCTGGTTCCCGGGGAAGTGGTACGGGCTGCCGGGCAGATGCTCCCTGTTGGGAGCTTCGGCAAAAGCTGCAGCAGCTTCTACAGGAAAGAACAAGACTCAGGCATCGGAGGACAAGCTCCTGGAGCTGTCAGGGGTTACAGAGGAGCAAGTCTCCCGGGCATGGGAGGAGGATAGGGCAGAGAGGAGAATTTTTACACGGCCAGTCTTCTGCCACACATTCTAATCCATTTTAACCTTCATAGAGCAGTTATTTTCCTCTCTCATTCTAATGTGTAGGGAAATAAAGTATTGTGCTTCTACTACATTTAAAGCTAATCACTAAGGCCCTCTTCTGGAACATACGAATCATTTTGCCACATACCCTTCTTCACAGAGCTGATGCAAATATTTCTAACCCTACTCCAGAGCCATGGCCCAGCCCCAGCCTTACCTCTTGACTGCCTGCTGAGCTAGCATCCGATTGCCAGCCAAAAATGTCACACTGCCCAAGATGGCTAGGTACTTCAGGGTTTGGAACATATTGAGCTGAGTCCAGTAGACATACATGAGCCCCAGCATAGCTGTAAGAAGAGGTGTCATGATACCCAATTAAATGAAACTGTACCAATGTCCTGAGGTCGAAGAGAGTTAGGAGCAGGAATTGCTAGATCATGAAAAGGTCCGTATTTCCATAACAGCTTGTTTTATTCCTTTTATCCGAGCCCAAAAATAGGTAATGCAATATACCTGCCTCTCAGCCATGGCTACCAAGAAATCCAGAGTTAAAAAAATCAGACTTCAGGCCGGGCGCGGTGGCTCACGCCTGTAATCTAGCACTCTGGGAGGCCAAGGCGGGCGGATTGCTTGAGGTCAGGAGGTGGAAACCAGCCTGAGCAAGAGCAAGACCCCATCTCTACTATAAATAGAAAGAAATGAATTGGCCAACTAATATACATAGAAAAAATTAGCCGGGCATGGTGGCGCATGCCTGTAGTCCCAGCCACTCCCAAGGCTGAGGCAGTAGGATTGCTTGAGCCCAGGAGTTTGAGGTTGCTGTGAGCTAGGCTGACGCCACGGCACTCACTCTAGCCTGGGCAACAAAGTGAGACTCTGTCTCAAAAAAAAAAAAAAAAAAAAAATCAGACTTCAGCTACTTTATTTCATTTCATTTCCTACTAACATCTATTTCTCTGCTTCTCTAATGAAGTTTTTATTTTGTGTAAAACTATACTGTCGTGTTATATTTGGGATTTTATTTTTCAAATTCTTAATAAAAATACATAGGGTATAAATAAATGGATTTCTTTTATATTAAAAAAATTATAAGCTGGGTATGGTGGCTAGTGCCTGTAATCCCAGCTACTTGTAAGGCTAAGGAGGAAGGATCGCTTGAGGCCAGGAGTTTGAGACCAGCCTGGGCAACAGCGCAAGACCCCATCTCTAAAATATAAATAAATAAACAAAAAATTAGCCAGGTGTGGTGACCTGTGCCTGTAGTCCTAGCTACTGGAGAGGATCATTTGAGCCCAGGAGTTCGAGGCTGCAGTGAGCTATGATCACACTACTGCACTCCAGCGTGGGTGACAGAACAAGACACCATGTCAAAAAAAAAAAAATTAAGGATAATTTGACATGTGGGAATAAGGAGGACTGAGGAAGGTTTATGAACAGAGCTCAGAGCTGAGCACTCAGCGCCCTGGATTCTGGTCCAGGCTCTGCTCCTACCTGCCACTTAATTTCCCAAAGCCCAAATTCTCTCACCTGTCAAACAGGATCATGATTCCTGCCCCAATCACCCCCAACACGGTTGTGATGAGAATCAAATGAGGCAACAATCACAAGAAGCATACTGACAAGAAAAGCCATGGCTCTCAGCAGATCTATATTCTGGCTTTGCTCTCGGTCTGACCCAGGAGGGCCCTGAGTCACCTCCAGTAACTGAGCTGGAGAGAAAGGTTATCCTGTCACTTTTGCCCACAAGGATGACAGGTGAACTGCAGCAGGGGTTCTTGACCATTTCCAAGATCATGGATCACTGTGACAATCTGATCAAAGCTACAACTCTCTCTTCCCCCCAGAAAAATAGACACATAATTGCCTAGAACTTCAAGGGATTCATCTGTGCACCCCTATGAGAATCTGCATACTGTGGGTGGACAGACAGTGACTCCGGAGAGAGACAAATAAGTTTAAAAATAATGAAGTCTCCATGAAGTGCAAGTCACCACGGATCCAACAGTGTCAAAAGTCCTGGAAATATTGAACTGATGTATGAATGCACTGTCTCATGTTTAGGTTGTTTAGGTCTAGTTCTCAAGAGAACGATGCCGGACAGCATGTCTGACTGTGGAAAGGACTGTTTTCTGTTACCGTCCGGACAGAGCCGCCGGCAAACGTGAAGATCAATATGGTGGGAAAGATAACCTTTGGAAACTGCATTAATGCTCTTCATCCAGGAAGATGGCTCGATGTAAAGATACGATAAGTGAGTAATCTCTGGAAATGAACAGGGTTATTAAATGAGGGTAAATGGCTTGCCAACAGCAGCCTAGTACAATGAAGCCCAGTCTAATGACAGCTGTTCTAAGCTGATGGACCAAACAGGTTTATCATCATATTAACTGTCCTAAAAGGCCAGGAGGAAGAGGGAAATGTTATGCTATTAAGTCATTATAGTTAATAGGTTGTGGGTCTACTTAACAGGCCTTTTGCGTGGGCAGGCGAAATGTCAGAGGAGGTTAAATGGAATTAGCAGCCTGGGGCACTTACCAGCATGTCCCAGATGAAATATAATCGTGCTAGGAGCAAAAGTGAAGTTGGAGACATTGGCACCAATCCGGATCCACTGAATGATGGGGAGAAATAAATTAAAAAGACATTAGAACTTAAAAAGGAGGCAACACATGTCATGCCAATGCTAATCCAATCAACAGCCCCAAGGGCTTAGAAAGTCATGCATACTGAAAGGACAGGAAATTCTTCCAAGTGACAACCACCCTATTACAAGCCCTCAGGAAACACTGTTCTCTTTTCTTTTTTAGAAAAGCACCTGAGCTTGGGTAACTCAAACCTGAACATCATTTTTAATGAGGCAAAACTTTCTATTTTAAAACAGGTGGAAACATGAAGCCAAAAGGTCAGAAACTGCATTTATGATGAAGTAACTGACACTCCCATCAGGTTCTCTAGGAATTGGGAAGAGAAACCTGCTGGCAGCTGGTAGGATGATGCTCTTTCTGTGGGTCCCATGACTTTTAAAATTCTGATCACTGAAATATGAGGACAGATGCCCACACCCTAGGTATGGTTTCCAAAAGCTTGCAGCATGTCTTCTTGATTTAGATTAACCAATAATTCTTTTATTAAAATCAATGAATTAATTAGGAAACAGAAAACTTTCTAAAAGTAAGCTCTAAAGCAGGGGTCCTCAAACTTTTTAAACAGGGGGCCAGTTCACTGTCCATCAGACCGTTGGAGGGCCGGCCTATAGTTTAAAAAAAACTATGAAAAAAAAAAAAAAACAACAAAAAAAAACTATGAACAAATTCCTATGCACACTGCACGTATCTTATTTTGAAGTAAAAAAACAAATGGGCAAAAACACCCGCATGTGGCCCGCAGGCCATAGTTTGAGGACACCTGGTCTAAAGCTTTTTTCTTCAAAATTCTCTGAACTTCGAAGATATACATATATGTCTATCATTTTAAAAGAGAAACAAAGAAAAAAATTAATTGGTTAAAAAAAAATCAAACAGTACAGTAAAGTCTAAGGTAAAAGTTTCCTTCCTGCACATTCTCCAAAAATGTCCTCTCCTCAGAGGTGACCAACATTAACCCACACTGCCTTTTAAAACTTTTTATAGAGAATCATACTAAACATACTACCTTGCTTTCTTCGTGCAATAAATACTTCCTGGCAATCGTCATATCAGCATATAAATCTATCCATTCTTTGGAGAAGCTGCGCATTATTCCGCTGTCCATAACTTAGTTAACACTTGCTTTTATGAAGACTAGGTTGTTTCCAGTTTTATGCTCCAAACAGTGCTGACAAGCATAGCCTCTGTACTGCATTTTTTATAGCTATCAGCACTGGACCTTGCTTTGCTCACACTTGATCTCCTCTGAATACTCCTATGGAGTATCACAGTCCATCCACGTTTGTCATTTTAGTTGCTACTAGGTACTTTCTCATGCCCCCTTGTCAATGGGTCAATTTGTTTGGCGGCTTCCCCATACTGGGGAAGTTTGGTTATTCTAAAATTTCTTGACCATCAGTTCAGGTCACAGCTGCTGGACCTCTCTGGAGATGTGCGGAGGCCAGAGCACAGAGGCTCCTTTAGAAGGGCTACATCTGCCGACTCTGGCGCAGGACACACGCTGCCCATGCTAATTACAACCACTCACCAGAGCGAACAGCAGGAGCAATGGCGCGAGGACCAGGGCGGTGAATGTATTGGACACCACCGTGGGGGGCCTCTTCTCAGGCTCTCGGAACAGGTGCTGTCAAAAGAAGACATACCAAGAAGACTTAAGAATGTGCCCTTCCTGGCAGGGGCTGCCATATATACCAGGGACCAAAACATCAATGATGGTCACCAAGGGGAAATGCTACCCAGAGGCAAAACCTATTGGCAACAAGTGGCCACTTGGCCTTTTGCCTCTTCTCAACGCTGGCTTCTGATCCCAGAGGTCCCCCTACTGAAGACACTACATCAGTCCCAGCTCATTGCTTGGCCAACCCTTTTGTCCCCTCAAAGACTCGCTGCCATTTACAAGTTGGAGAATGCAACCCATCAAATGGCATTAGGCTAGCCTCAAAGACAGTGCCCAGGTATAGGGATGGCTTGTGTGACATACCTGAGGCAGGACTCTAGACTTCATAATGCATATGCATTCCCAGGAGGCACTAGCCTATGTTGCTGCCTCACTTAAGTTAGCCAACTGGTGGTAACCTCAGTCCCTTTAAAAATATAACAGAGGCCTCACTGCAGATTTCAACCATAACTGCTCTCTCCTCCAGCCAGGGCTCTAAGGAATCCCTAAACAAACTTTCTCCCTCACTCACTCTGCCTGATTTCCAGAGTTAAAGCAGAAGGCTGGACAAGCATCTGTCTGATATTTCTTTGCTTTGTTTTTTTCTCCTCAGCAATTCTACATGAATTCTCTTTGGGAAGCTCACCTAGGTAATGTGACCTAGCAGAAGCACCAATGGACCGGGAGTCCAGAGCCCTCCATTTAGGTGCAAACTGATATGCATGGCTGTGTGACCAGGGGCAAGTCACTTTCCCACTCTGTCTCAGCTTTCAGCTGGAAAACTGGGGGTGAGGAAGGCAATGACCATCCTAGTAGGCTTGTAAAGATATTCTAAAGATCAAATAAAATAGGGCATTGGACTATGCTTTGGAAGCTGTAACACACTTATGCAAATCAAGCTTTAAGATTTTTTCCCTCTAGTGTTATCAACTCATGGCTGTCTCTTCTGCTTGCCAATGCCCGGTGCCATGATGAGGCAGCTCATTTGAGCCTCCTGTTCCTGTATTTGCACCTCTGTGCTCCTTTGCTGCCACTGACATGAAAGGATTTCACGTTGCTGCACCTACTCCATACTCCACAGTCAGCACCCTTCAGCATCGCAATTATACCTTTTACTATTTAACTGCACTTTACATTCCTAAAATCTTAATGCTCTATCAACATTAAGAGGAATTTTAAAAAGAATTCTGCTTTACTCTTTGGGCTCTTATCCTTTTTTACAGTGAAATGAAAGCAGGTAGTCTGCTTGTAACACCTGGACATTACATTGATTCATATGTAGGTTTCCATGTATGATCATTTCTCGTGATTACAGAACAGTCAGTCCACCAAGTGGATTCACCTCAGTTTCCTTAACCAGTACCTAAATAATTTAGCTATTATTGCGTTTATTTTGTAAGGGGCTTTAGAAACATTTCAAAGCTTTTTTTCCCTCATCTATGACCTACTTTGATCCTTACAGCAGTCCTGTGGGCTAGGCAGGCCTGGCTTATCTAAGGATTTACCTAATGAAGGCCCTGTTCTCCCAGGCCAGTTTCCCCATCAGCCCTGATTTATGCAGAAGCAGTGAGATAAATGTTAAACCCATCTGCACTCGTAGCTGGTCAAGCAGCAGGCTGAAGGCTGAACCTCCTGGATGTCAGGAAAAACAGACTCAGGTTCTGATTTCATCTCCAATTCTGCTTTCTAGAAGCTAAGTCACTGGACTCTTTGAACCTGTTTGCTCAGCTAGAGGATGGGGCTACTGTTTGCCCTGCCTAATTTATAGGGTAATGAGATCAAACTATAGAGCATCATATAAGCAGGTGAAAGGACCAGAGCCAAAGTCCAGGGGTTTGCTGCCCTTTTTCTTTGTGCCCACTTCTCCCATGTTTAGTGGATATGCCCTTTGGGATATACCTGAATTTCCTGCTTCGGGGTAAAAAGGTTGTGGGACAAGACAGTCGATGGAGCTTCTTCCTCTGGGAACTTGATGATCACATCAGCCTAAAAAAAATAAGGGCAGTCTTTAAAAGCACAGGGGCAGAGAAGGGGGCAAAACTCCTCTGGCAGGATAAGATTCCCTGACTCACATCTAGGACCATAACTGAAAAAAGCTCCAAGCAGTCCAATCACTTCTGATCCATTAGCTGACAAATTGCGGTAGTAAAAATTTAAAAAACAAAAACAAGTATTTGTTGAAAATGCTTTTTAGAGCAGGAGTTCTAATTTTCTACTGGTATGGCAAGCCCCATAGGGCTGCTTTAATACAAAAATCCCAGCTGGCACACAAGCTGTTAGAGTTGCAATCAGAAACTGCTTGGTGTCCTGGGAAGTGTGATTTAGTCACATTTAGAAAAAAAAAAGAAAGAAATGAGAATGTGTTCTTGTACAGAAAGTAGCCCAAAGTCCAGGAGAAGAAAAGGAGCCTTGAATACGGCACAAGAAAACACAGCAGTCCCTTTGTCTTGGGAAGGGAGCCAGCCACCATTCAAGGCCTGCAATTTGGCCTCTGCTGCCTCTCCAAGCTGCCCACTGCCCTCGACAGGATGCAGGTGCTCCAGGGAAACACAACCACTCACATCTCACTGAAAGCACCTTGAGTTTTTCTGCAGGCCGTTCCCCAGTGATCATCCCGCAGCCCCCAGATACTATGCTGATAAAGCCTTGCCATTCTTCAACCTCTTCTCAAATGCCATGTCTTTAGAGTTTTCTCTCATCACACCAATCAGAAGAGAGGCATGAAGTCAGGCACTACACAAATGTTAGTCTTTAGTTAATTAGCATTTTGCACATCCTACAATTCATTATTCTACACCATCCTGAGCTGTTATCAGAATTCAGATCTTGTCCCTCCCATGAGGCTATACCGTATCTCAAAAGTCAGGGCCTTCTCTTTTACATCTGTGTACTCCCGACAGTGCCTTGCTTGGAATATGAAAGCCTCCTTCCTCTGTAACATCTACAGGAATTCACAGATCACTAGCATTCACAAGGACAAATTTGTACTTCCTTCACTCACTCAATCAATATTTATTAAGCACCTACAATGTGCCAACCCATGTGCATGACCCTAGGACTATTTATGGAGACAACACACAGTGCCTTGCCTCACAACACTTATTCATGGCCCATGGGAGGCACAGGCAGGGTGGGGTGAAGATCCATTGTCCCTGAGGAGGAGCCGTCTATGTCTGTGGTACAGCGGCTCTCACCTGGGTCAGGGTACATTTGGGCACATACCACATTCCAGAGTATTGGGTTCTTCAAAGTGGCATCTCCAATGATTAAGTAGAGAGTGTAGGTGCCAGAGGCAGAGTCAAATTCAATCTTTCTTTCAGAGGTATCCAGTTCAAACTTGTACACATTCTTGTGATCCGGCTCAGCGACAAATACCACTTCCTGGCCAGTCTTCTGGTTATGGAGTCGGACGAATGTCTAAATGGAACAATAATACAACCTTTCATCCGATCATTTCAAAACTCCCCGTGGGCCCAACATTGACTCTGCCAGGCAGCAGACTGTTAGCTCCTTCCTCACCGTGAGCACTCTGGGACCTGCCAGACCTGCCCCAAAGTGGAAGGAGTGGTCATGCTGTTAGCTCAGAGGTAACTTTTTTACTGGTACAAGGACAGAAATTTAACTTAGGGGTCCAGCCAATTCTCCACCAGTTAGAGGCTGAATGCCCAGTTTGTGGATGATTTAAGCCCTTTGCAATTGCTGCAATTTCTTTTTCCTGCCAGCCTTTTGGCCACTTTGCTGCCCAATTAACTTCTTCAGCAGAGGGTGAAAAGAAGGGAAATGAGGTGGAACTGTAAAAGGCCCATTTTCAATTTCCTAGTGCCTACAGCTAAAGATTTAGTAGAGGGGGCTTGGGTATTGATAGCAAGGCGGAGATCTAATCGAGCAGAGCAGCCCAGTGTCACGGAGAGCCCTAGCTCTGAAGACAGACAGATTTGGCCCTTCTACTTATTAGGTGAGCAGGTTCCTTAACCTCTTTGTGCCTTGATTTCTTCACATTTAAGGCAGAAAGATTAAATTTTACAGGAGGTATATCTGTGTGAAGATTTACAATGATGTATGTAAAGCATTTGTAAAGGGCCCAGTCTATACTAGGTAGTCAACAAAAGGTAGCTAATATTATTATCAATATAATGGTACTGAATATAATCACTTTATCCCCACAAAGGTATACGAAACTAGAGTTTCTGAAGCAAAATTTAATGTCCCCACTCAGAGCTATTCTAAATGTTTCAAAATAAAGACTCAACAAGGCACAGATTGTAAGACATAAGCATTAAATGAGTTGCCATGGTCACACAGCTAGTGCTGGGTCTACAGAAAAAACATCTCATTTGTTACTTTCACCCGAACAACAAAGAACCACCATCAAATCTTTAGGGAAAGGGGCCCAGAGATGTGAAGCATCCCGACTTCAGCTATTAGTCTTGGCCACGAATGGCATTTAGGAGTCCAGGTGCCTGATCTCCCTCCTGTCATAGTCAAATGCAGGCAGCTGCCAAGCCCATCTACAACATGCCGTCTCTGCCTGGGAGGTCTCTAAGCCATGATTTCCAAAATAGAGTCTTGGATAAGACAAGTATTCAGCTAAAGTTACATTTCCTCACTAACTCTCTCTGCTCTAACCCTAATCCTACCAATTTAGTCTTGTTAATTTCTTTTCTTCGTATTCTTTCTTTTGTGCTATTTGGTTGGCAAATGTCATTCTGGGAAGGAGCTGGGAAATGTTAAGAGGTTGAAATGCTTAAAGGTCAGTTAGCCATGGCTAAGGGCCCTGACCAAGCAGTCTGGAGTTTGGGGGTGGCGGGGAGAGAGGAGCAGAAGACTGCCTGGGACTGTGGCCCTAGGGGCAGGTGCTGTGGGACACACGTGCAACAGCTGCAGCTATGAGAAAGAGAAAGCAAGAAGGTTCCCAAATAAATCTGCTCACCTCAGTGGTCTGCCCTGAAGCTGCCTTGAGGCACAAACACAAGGCTACTGGTTCTTGCTAAACCATCAATACAGAGCACTTAAACCAAGCCTACTAGTTCCCACATTCTTTCTAGTCTTTCAGCATTTGAAGTATTTATCTGAATTGGCCTTTAGAGAACACTAAAGGTGGGGCTAACAGTGGACAAAAGCCACATTAGGTTCTCTGGGGAAAAGGTATATGGTTAGAAAATCTTTTAAATGACAATTTCCATTATTTTATATATATATGTAAAATAAAGCCTATTGCTTATATAATACAAAGTAGGTACAAGTTAAAAGAGGATGTCCTTCAGAGTCCCACAAATTGAAAATCTGTTTTAGCCAGAAGAAAAAGTCCTTTGGGCCTTCTGCTTAGGTTTTTCTTTTTCAAAATTATTTCAATATATTCCCTTTCTTTAATCAGAAATAAAAAGTCTCAATTAAGTGCTAATCTGTCTTCAGTATATCTCCTCAATACCAACTAATCTTTTGAAAAGAAGCGTGTATTCCAGGTGAAGGATTACAACCAGTGCGAGGCGTAAAGCGCCACATGGAAGAATCTGAAGGACTGCCAGGGTTCGGAGTCAAGGTCTGAAAGCAGGAATGTGGAACTTCCCCTAGACCATGTTATACACCACACTGTTAACTCCAGTGCGCATGCATGTTTCTGGCCAAGAGAGCTATCTGGGCTTCTTCCTGACCTGGTGAGGGGTGAGCTCAGCACCAGTGTTCACGTCTACCAGCTGGAAGAACAAGGCGAAATTCTGGTGGCTGTCTGCGATGAATGTGCCCTTGGCTTTGGCTGGGTAGTTCACCCTGAAAGAGACATTAAGCAGTCAGTCTTCAGAAAGGATCTAAGAACAGTCTTCAGAAATCTCTAAGAACAGGCAAAGAATGCATACTTCGCTTCACTGCCTAATCCTTACCCTACCACTGTAACACTTCTGTTGTGGACAGACAGTTGTGGAGAATTGTCTGTGGCCTCGGGGTAAACTGGATTGCTAAAGCCAGTACTGAGGAAAACTCAGAATAAACTTTCAGCACGGTCTGGAGAAAATGCTATGTGCAGATGCTTGTACCTCTGGGCTAGCAACTCAACCAAGTCAGGCACCAGTGGAGCTCATGTGTACCTCTGCAGGCACACAGGAGAGGGGAGGGCCAGGCTGGCAGAGCCGCAAGGAGAAATAATCACAGGCTTGACGTTAGCAGCATATGTGAGCAAGGTTGAGAAACCAGGGACAGGAGATGCAAAGGAAACAAGGCTACTTTTGGCTTTTGCTTTTTTTAATGCTGTATTTCAATTATTATTCTGCCTTGAAATTGGGTTTTAAAAAGTCATTTTCTCAAAAAGGCAGACTTGATGAGGGAAACTGTTCTTTTCACAGCTATCTCCTGGAATTTTAGGGTAAACAAACCAAATGGTTATAGAGCTCACACCTGGCTCTATTTTATATTTATGCTTTATATTTACTCATGAATAATACCAACTCTTCATCTATATAGAGAATTAAACTGCAAAGCACTCTAACAGACATTATTTCAGTGGATTCTCAAACAGTGCTCTCATCTCCAATATCAGTACGAAAATAACCAAGCCAGAGACAGTAAGATCGCCTCTATGAGATTTAAAAGGTGTGACTGCTTGGCTTCCAGGCTCTGACTAACATCCCCTGTCTTCAAAATGGCCTTGAGAGGGTCACCTACTGTGTTCTGGCCTCTAAAGCCACCCCAGATGAGTAGAGTTGGAGTTTGGACTGTACCCAGAGATCTAGATCCCCAAAATAAGGATCTGAGGAAGGGCTGACACATGGGCTTCCTAGAGTGTTCTGGTCCAACTCTGATCATTGTTTATGATTACCTAGAAGGTTGTGTTAAAAAAAAAAAAAAGATTCTGAAGCTGAGTCTGAGTTTAGTAGGAACAAATGCTGAGACTTACTAGTAATGCCCTCCACCGACTTGCGGAGGGGAATGGCAGCCCTAGTGCTGGGTATCTGCCAGCTCAGTTCTAAGGACTTATGACGCTTCCAACTAATTTCAGACCTACCATGGGCCAGGGAGAGTTTTCATGAGGCTACGAAGAGCAAATTTGGGACTGTGAATATAAGGAGATTGTACCAGAATATAAATTAATACACTGCTTCCTTCACTGAGAAGGTCTTGCTATATAAAAAATTGTCATCTGAACTAAATAATGTGCTTAGTGACAGAGCTGACTGACTCAGACTTATATCCTGAGGTAAGCTCCTTATCTCCTTGTGGATTGGTAATAAACAGTTTGCTCATGGACTGAACACTCGTATACACAACCCCCAAATCCGCTTAGATGCCAGGCCGAATCTCTGATGCAGTACCAGTGGAACTATAGCCTCTTTAATTTGGGATGCAAACTGGATCCCTGCTGACACAGAACTGATGTCCAAAGGGGCTCCGTGCACCTGGGCATGCTCCCCTCAGCTCTTCATCCTGGGCTCCCCCAGTGCCCAGGTGGCATCCCACCTACCGGGTGGTTTTGGGCGCAATGCTCTGATCCTTATCTACAGTGGAAAGATCAACATTTGTGATGCCAACTTCAGTGGAGATCTTCACTCTGAGCTAGAGCAAAACAGAGAAGATAGTCGCCAAGTCAACTGGTGGCTATACGAAGAATTAACATGCATATTCAAAGCTTTCTACTTGTTAAAGTCAGAAAAGGCATGAAAAAAATCCTAGGACAGGAATCTTTAAGGATTATAGTAAAACTGACCCAGCCAAGTAGTATTATTTTCCACCCACTCCCAACATGAGACCTAAACAATAACCCCTTGATTCTCATTTCTTCTTCCCTTCTCTAGTTTTGGATAGATGGTATATAGTTTTAAAAGAAAAAAAAAGTAGATCATGTGTCCCTTTAAAATAAATAAGGGGAAAAATCCTTAAGCAGTAACCTTTAAATAATTCAAATCAATAAGTGTTCAATTTTAATGGCAGCTAAGCTTCACTGTGTGCTTACTGTGTGAAAGGCACTGGCTTTGTAAAGACTATCTCATTTAATCCCCACAGCAGTTCTGTAAAGTAGTGCTACTTCAGATGAGGACATTAAGGATTAGAGAGATTTAAGCTGCTTGCTCAAGATTGGATGGCCAATAAGTGATAGGACCAACATTCAGGCTCAGGCACTCCAATTCGGAATCCATGTGCTTTGGCACCTTGTTATACAGCTTCTCGCCAATGCTTACTCTGTGCCAAGGAGCACTGGAACTCTGCATAAGACCTCACAAGCTTTGGCAGTTATCTGCACTGTTCACCAGGTACTTCTCATTCTCCTTCTGAGCATGTGGTAGAATTCTACTTCCCTGCCCCTTGGAGTTGGGTGTGGCCATGTCACTTGCTTCGGCCAAAGAAATGTGAGCAGAAGCGAGGTGTGTTACTTCCAGGTGGAAGCTTTGAGAGGGAGGGTGTGATTGTCTCTTTTCCGCTGACATGGACACAGACAATGGATGGGAGGAGGCTTGCTCCTTCAACCAGGGTCCTGGAGTAAGGGCAACATGAAGCACAGCCTCCAGCTGACCCCCTAAAGACACCTAGCGTGGGACAAAAAAAATCAACCTTTGTTGTTTTAAGCCACTGTTGCTATAAGCATAAACCAATCTATCTGGATTCTTCCAGTGTTTGAATTCTGTATGTCCTTTATAAACATTTTCACTAAGAGGAGCTACCTAATGCCAGTAAACAAGAAATTTAAAAATTAGATTAAAATAAATGTAAATACCCAAAATAGATAGAAAATATATTAACAATCTATTCATGGGACATTTTTGAGTTAAAATCTAGTTTGAATGTGCAAATTATGCAAACCCAAGGCGCTTTTATGTGCAAACATATCTGTGAGCCTTCCAAATATTTGATAGGTTTGAACATAATGCTTAAGGAAATCCTTGCCAAATCCACTGGTTTATAGTCTGAGTCAGGATCAAGGAATAGAGACAGAGGGCTGGGCAAATAATTGAAGGATAGCTTTGGCATTTTCCTCTAATAAAATGCTGTATCAAGGTGTGACAACCTCAAATCAAGGGCAAAGAAGAAAAATTAAAAAGAGATAAAGATAGCTCTTCTTTTTAACAGCCTTCTCTCTTGCCTCCATAACTATTTTGTGACAACAGCCTCAATTATCAGGTTGAATAGGAGTGTTCCGTTTTGCTTAAGATTTATTAACAGAAGGTGAAAGGATATTACCATCTACTTTTGAATACATGGCCACCTATTAGCAGTATATTTAGCATTATTGCCTATCACCGAGTGTAGGCAACTAGGTGAATTATGGCAGTGGAGGAGATGGACGAAGGCCCATCAGGGAGAGAGCAAGGAGCCTCTACTTTGGTTCTGTGGGCTCTCTATTGAGTAAACAGCCTCATAACTCATACGGGGCTCAGAACCAGAGCAAGCTTTGCCATATAAAGCTCAACCCAGATAGGCACCATCATCATTTCCATTTGAAGACAAACTGGAATGGAAGGCTCAAGCAAAGAAGCAAAGAGCTCTGATGAGGCTACTGACTTCTGGCAAGATGCTCCACTGAGAACACTTTCCCTATAGCATGTGGAGCACCTACACAGAGATGGCAAGATACACTTCCTGTCCTATATGCAAACTGTAATTATAGCAGGCCAGTTTGCAACTTTAATGGAGGGATGTACAAAGTACAATGAAAGCACAGGAGAAGGAACTGTGACCCAAGTCTGCCCAAGGGTGGCCCCTGATTGGAAGCAGGAAATGTTCCATAGCAAGAAGACTGAGGAGGAGGTTTGGTGGGCTTAGCAGTTTTGGGAGAGGTAGAAGATCAGCAATACTCTATGCTACAAAAATAATGTCTTCATAGTTAACTAGTCTGCAATCTTCATCAACATTAACTAGATAATTCCCTCTTCATTTCTGTAACTCATTCTCTTAAGAACTCATTCATTTAATTTGTAAATGTGATCTTGAAATCATCGTCACACCTAAATATCCATAAATAGGAAATTAGCTAAATGAATAATGCATTCTATGAATTACTATGGGGCAATTAAAAAGAACAAGGTAGGCCAGGTGTGGTGGCTCACGCCTGTAATCCTAGCACTGTGGGAGGCTCGAGGTTAGGAGTTCGAAACCAGCCTGAGCAAGAGTGAGACCCTGTCTCTACTAAAAACAGAAAGAAATTAATTGACCACCTAAAAATATATATACAAAAAATTAGCCGGGCATGGTGGCGCATGCCTGTAGTCCCAGCTACTCAGGAGGCTGAGGCAGGAGGATCGCTTGAGCCCAGGAGATTGAGGTTGCTATGAGCTAGGCTGACACCATGGCACTCACTCTAGCCGGGCAACAAAGTGAGATTCTGTTTCAAAAAAAAAGAACAAGGTAGATGTCTACGGAAGGATATGGAGATATTACCTACTTTTGAATATACAACTATATAGTAGCAAAATTATATTTATAATCTGTCATTTATATCTGTCATTGAATCTAGGCAACAGGGTGAATTATGGTGGGAGCAGGAGATGGCTATCAAGCTAATAGATTCCCCAAGGGTAAAGCTGGGAGCCTCTACTTGTGGCAAAAGCAAAGAACTATTTATCAAATGATCTCTTTTATGTACATAGGAAAGGATATGCTCACATTTGCTATAAGAAGTATGCTTTTTTTCTTAAAAAGTACATAGAAAGCTGTTAATAATGATTCCTCTGAAGAGGACCAATTGAAGGGATGGAAAGAGGCTCTTATATTTCATTATATACCTTTCTGTACTTTTAAGTTTTTTAAAAACACATGCATATTTTGCTATTTTTTAAATATAGGGATCATTTGGCAATGAGATTGTGGGTCATTTACTATCTTCTTTATATACTTTTTTGAATTAAGAGAATATCACCCTTGGAGTTCTCACCCAGCTTTAAATAAAAAGTATCACCTAATAAATATGATTTTAAAAATAATCACTCTCGGCCGGGCGTGGTGGCTCACGCCTGTAATCCTAGCACTTTGGGAGGCCGAGGCGGGCGGATTGCTCAAGGTCAGGAGTTCGAAACCAGCCTGAGCGAGACCCTGTCTCTACCAAAAATAGAAATAAATTAATTTACCAACTAAAAATATATATACAAAAAATTAGCCGGGCATGGTGGTGCATGCCTGTAGTCCCAGCTACTCGGGAGGCTGAGGCAGGAGGATCGCTGAGCCCCGGAGATTGAGGTTGCTGTGAGCTAGGCTGACACCACGGCACTCACTCTAGCCTGGGCAACAAAGTGAGACACTGTCTCCAAAAAAAAAAAAAAAGAAAAAAAGAAAAAAAAAATCACTCTCCCTTTCAGCAGATAGATATACACAAACAGAGGTTTAAAGAATTGTGTAGTGCTCCTCAATGTATCCTGATCAGAGTGATAAGGGAGCCATCGATTTTCAGGTTTTCACTTAGAATCCTGACTATAAACTTTCGGCAGTAACATGGCCACTAGGGCCTGCTAAGCAAGATTTGGCTGTGTGTGTGTTCTAAAGACAGCATGAGCATTCCCAGAAAATACAGACACATGGAACGAGCAAAGGGCAAATTGCAGTGAACTTGAGTCATTTTCAGTTTGCCCTCAGCCCTAATTTTAAAAGGCTCCTTGAGTTACAACTTTCTTTGCTGCACAGAAATACTGTAGGGCTGTTCTTACATAGGCAACAGTTTAAAATCCTTCTGAAGGGGCCCGGCTAGCTTAGTCGGTAAAGCATGAGACTCTTATAAAATCCTTCTGCTCCTGAAATTGTACAACAAATGAGTCTTTGGAAATACTCAAAGGAAAAAGCATTTTTATGCTACTCTTTTAAAGCAAATCTAGAAATAAAAATCATTATAACTTTTTTCAAAGCCGTCTTTTAAAGAGTTTAGCGTAGGATCCTTGTTGATTAGCTGCTTCTTCCTTCAAACCAACACTGTAGGATTAGTTTTTATAATAGGAAAGGGACTTGTTTCTGCACTTTAAATGCAGCTAAGCCTGCTTTACACTGGATCATGCTATTCCTTTCTTTGCCTGCACCACATGCCATATCCATCTCAAAAAATGTTTTAACGCCAGGAAATGCTGTCTTTCTGCTGGGAGTAATAACCTCCCTGTTTAGCTTATTACTGTCAAAATGATGGTGCATTAGGGGCAATTAATGCTAATGAAAGCTTCCAAAACCCATGCTTCCCCTGACAGCAAGTTCAATGTCAACGAGTGCTATTATAGGCCTCCCATACCAAACCACTGTTAATGCACTCTGACCAATGTCGAGCATCTCTAGGGAGAGCACACAGGACCCACTGACCTGCTCCAAGGCTCTAAGTGTGACTATTACTGAAATTACAAAGTAAAGTTGCATACATGACAGAGGTCAGAACCAATTCTCTCTCCCTCTCACATATACACATACACACAACACACACACACACACACACCCCACACAGCTCAAACGTAATGAAGAGGGAGAGAGATTTTGTAATGCTTATTCCATCACCAGGAAGGAAAAGGACAGCAAATGGCTTCAATAAGGGCTTATTATTGCATGAACAACAGCTATTAGCCATTTCTGCTATTTTGTACTTGGATCATTTTTTC